AAACTTTCAAATACTGAAAAATAAAACAAAATTAGGGAAGCACCTGCGAAACACTACAATTAAGGAGTATTTCTTGTTTTAATATAGAAAAAGGTTGATATAATGGATCTGATTTTTTTTTTTTTTTGAAAGAAGCTCTGACCAAGCCTTCAGACAGCAAATGAATTTGTGTCACTGTTACTCCCAAGCAAGGGATGGCACAAGGTTTGTGGAGTGTGGGCTCAGGTTTTCCCAGGTCTGTGGAGTTTAGGCTGCTCTGCAGAGAGCATGAACTGGCAATGGATCTTTCTCCAGCCCCAGCAGAGTGTTTTAGTTATGTTACCTTTGCTGAACCAGTGCCTAGATGCCAACAAGAGTCATGTCCCAGGTTCAATTTCTTCAGCATTTATGGGCATGTAATCCTACATAAACCTTCTGGGCTGAATGGAGACCTTAGTGGAGTCCTCAGTCATTGTTTTTTTCTCTTGGGATGAGAATGGGTAAAAGGACAAAAGGAAAGCTGTTGCAGGACTCTGGAGGGAGTTGAAAGGGGTCAGTGGGGTTGGCATAAAAGAGGGGTGTGGAAAAGTTTCTTCCTCACCCTTCTCTGATCCAGCATCCCTTCATTTGCTTCCAGGATGTGGCAGTCCTCCCAGCTGTACTTCCAGCAACTATTCCAATTCCCTCAGCATCTTCCTCAGCCCCTTCTGCTCCCACAGTAGTTGTCTCCGCTCTGCTGTACTTATCCTGCACTTTTGAGACTGTGATACCTGTCTGGGTTTGTGGAAGAGCAGAGGAGCCTGCAGGAGCTGGGCTGTCTGCTGCTGTTGCTAATTAATGCTTTACATCACCCCCACAATGACGTGGCTGGAGCTGCTCTGTCTGCATCTGTTGGGAGGGCAGTGCTCCATGTTGGCACTGACAGAGAAACACAGGCACTATTCATCCTTAAAAGGGCTCTTTTCACCCTTAAAAGGGCTCTTCTGCTGCCTTTGCCCTCTTCTGCCCCAGACCATGTCTGTGCATGAAGCTGTTCCTGCCTAGCAGCCGGTGATGTCTAAGGTGCTGCACTTAACTCCTCAAAGCAGAGATATGTTGAGGGATAGACAATACTTGTACATATTAATTATTTCAAATACTAATGTTTATCCACCTGTTCTAAAAAATAAAACATCTCTAGATGTTGCTCTCGCCAAAATGCAGACCTTTAAGGCATTGCCATTAGAGTTTACAGAGCAGGTATAGCATTAGCCAGACTGATAATTTTGGAAATGGAAAATAGCATTATCTCTGCTGGTTCATCAGCCGGATGGATGTGGAAAAGCATTGGAAAAGAAAGAGCTTAATCACAAGCTTAGCAGAAAGCTGGTAATGAGTTAAAATGATTAACATCCTCTTTGCTTTAATGTTACATTAGCAAGAGACCTCAAAAAAGCTTCATCTCTTTCTATTGACCTTCAGCTTCTGGATGGGTTTAGGGCTTCCTTCTATCCCTATTACATTTGAATTATTTTTTCCCTGGGATTAAATCCCATTCTGATGGCCCAAAGGAAGATTGTGTTGTTGGGGAAGCAATGGATGGTATCATTTTACCTCATTGTTCTTCTCAAGGTTTAATGTGTTAAAGGGTGCAGACTGACACTTGCATGCTACTGATGCTGAGCACAATAATTTCTTGTGGGAAGAAGATCCTTATGCTTTTGAAGGAACAGCAGCATTTATAGCTGGTGGTAGCTAAGGGATGCACCACTTACTGTGTCTGAGCATGAGTTTTCATTTTCCTTTAGGAGTGGATTCAGTTTTTAAGTTTTGTGTAAAATTCTGTCAAATCAAAATATAAGTATTACAGTATTTCTACCCTATAAATTCTTCAGCAAACTGTCCTGTTTCTAGAGCCTGTACAGAAGAATAATATAAAATCTCAGTTTTAATCTGTGGGTTGATATATTAGGAACAAATGCTGTTTAAACACGCTGTGCTCTTCTCAAAGCTGATTCTCTGCTGGTTCAGTTGCATTTAGGTTGTGCCCTTGGCTTGGTAAGCCTTGATTCAGGAAAGATTTAGTGTGTGTAATTACAAGTACTTCTTTAAGTGAATCACAAAACCAAGCCTAATATATATGAAGTTAAAAGATCCACAGATTTTGCCATTGTAAAACTGCCCTCAAATACTGATTTTTTTTACTGTTTTTTAGAGTAAGATTGGTATACTGTGTCTTTCTTTCAGATCAACTCAATTAATGATGTAAGACTAACTGCTGTAATGTCACTGGATTTCATATTACATATCTTACATCTTCTTTCTTTTCTTTTTTCCTCATTTTCTTTTGATCTTATGTTATAGTTTTTGTTCCTTTTTTTGTTTTTTTCACTAGCATTCATTCTGTGGCCTTGATGACACAACTGAGCCGAGACGTGTGGTTGGTATTCTTTGTATTTCTTTGTACTCAGTTTTTGACTCCTAGATTTTGCCATGTTTTGGGGATTGTTTGTAAGACCCTGAAACCATGAGGAAGGGAATACTGGTTGCACCTGCACAGAGAGGAAGAGCCATCTATAAAGTCCAACTTGGATACTTCCTTCCTAGATTTGTGCAGAAAGTGATTGGCTTTTCAATGAGAAATGATTTTGTATTCAAAGATACTGAGTGCCATAGCTGCAGTGAGTGCTTTCCATTCTTGCAGAGCAGGTACATTTTGTCTCAAAGTTCAGTTATTGCTGTAGATTCCTGCCTTCTGTCATGCTGGATGGAGAGGAGGCAAAGAATCACTTGGTCCAAGTTTTGCTTTCTAAGAAGCCCTGTGAGCATAACCACCCATGCAAAATAAAGAGTTGATTTCACTTCCTCCAGATCCTTGAGGCCATGAAATTACTTAGGAAATAATAGCAAATTTTCCCTTTTATGAGGTGATTTGAGGCTTGCAATGTGAATGACACAACATGGAAAGGGTGAGGATAAAAATCCTCTGTGCCTCTCCCTTGAGACATTGCCATCACTCTCACTGTCCTTTCCCAGTGTCCTGGTCCTTTAAGCCCAGTGCTTTAAAGCTATTCAATATTATACAGATTTTGTTTTGTTACCGTTGTTGGGATTTTGGGGTTTTTTTTTGGTTTTAACCTGATAGTACACAATGCTTTTACCTTTACGAAATTTCTAAGATTTTTTTTTCTTTGTAATCTGTTGTGAATTATTTTTAAGGAATCTCCTTATAGTGGGAGTTTAATCAACATCTTTGAAACTGCATTCAGTACTGTAGATGAAAAAGAATGATGACAATTATTACCCTAAGCCCCTATTATGAGCATGAAACAATATTGTTAGCATGAAACAATACTCTCTACTGCCCAGATCTCAATACTTTTCAGAAATCAGACCTGAATTATTATGGGCTTTTTCTAGGGTTTGTTCATGTCCAATATTTTCAATTATCATCTTTCTTTTAATGCTCTTTTGAACTTGCTCTGGACTTTCATCACAAGCATTGCTGCATATGCTTTTTACTTTTCAAAAAATTTTTCAATAAAATGATAACAAATGCAGATGGGTAGAATGCAATTCTCAGATATTATTGTTTTCTTGAAAGTGCAGGAGCTTTCTATTGATTATTAGAAGTTGAAAAGTTGAAAAATTTTTCAGTATTTTCAGGATTGCTTTTGAAATTTTGTTTATTTTGTAAAAAGGCTTATAAAATGGCTTATAGAAAGGTGTTTGAAAAAAGGTGAAGCCTTGTAGTAAACTGTTCACCTTTCCACATTCTGAAGTGAATTTTTGGATGAGATAAGATAGATGCTATTTTGGTTAAGATAAGTTGGAAAGAGTAATGTTAAAAGAGTTATCAAGCTATTGCCTTTGGAATTTCCTCCAGATTTTTTATATCAGTCCCAGTAAGAGGTGCTAACAGCTGGATGAATATATATGTTTTTAAATATGTTGAAAGATATACTGGCCAAATCTAGAAATACTTTATAAACATTCAATAAACAGTGAAATCACCAGCATTTTTAAAATTCCATTTAAAATATTTTGTCATGCTATGCATTCAAGGGATTTATAGGTTTCCATTCTGATATTACCTGATAGTATTCTGGATTCCTCTTAGATTAAAAGAGAAAAAAATAAAATAAATTGAAAATTTTTATAGTCTTCAAAAATGCATTATTCTGATATAATGTACTACTCTTCCTGTCAACAATAAGCACTCAAGTAATTAAATTCAAGCTTGGTGACAAGCATTTTGAGGAGATAACACAGGGATAATGACTGTGCAGCCACATAACCACTCAGCTTTTGACATTTCCAGGAGTGCACATCACATTGTGGTGCTGGTTTGAAGGGCAATGTTCTTTAATTCATCTTGCCAGAAATGAATCTGTCTCTGGTTAATCTAACAGAAAAGCCTATTTTAAGTGACTTAATTATAGTTGGACTTGTCAACGGTGTTAATTATTTCAAGGCAAACCAGGTGATTTACTGATAGTAATTTTGGTTCTAGTTATTCTGAAGGTAATATAAAACATTCAGGTATTGAGCTGTCTGTGAATTTAGGGTTGATACAACACATATTTCTAAAGTAATGTTTTTTATCTAAGGCTTAGCAGACTTTTTCTTTTCTTTGTTATTTTTGTTTTCTGTTTTGGTTTCATTTTGTTTACAGGCTATTAAAAGAAGCTATGGAGTGAAAAGCTGAGTCCACATGCAAAAACACGGAAAATATTTATCGAGCAGCTTTAAATTGGTGCATTTTTTTTCATGAATCAGTTTGCATAATACATGAAGCTGCAGAATAATTGAACTTAAAATTAGAGACTTTTTAAAAGATATGGCTTCAAGCTGGAATAATTTCACAATCAAATAAAGACCAGCACATCATAAACACTGAAAAAAATTACGAACAGGACTTACACTCTCCCACCAACCAAACAGCAGAAAAATACAAGTGCAATTACTGGCTGCTATGTGAACTGTTGTCTACCAAATGGTTTTCTTACAGTACTGAGATCTTTGTCTCCATACTGCATGCTTTCAACAAATGTGGTTTGCATTTCACCCAAGAAACACAGGATCTCCTTTTTAATATCTATGTTAAAAAAGCTAAGTGTTTGACAATAAGTTGTCTATAGTAAATAGCTGAAAGGAAGCAAACTGTTCAAAGTTGGAAACAAATAAAGATTTACAACAATGCAGTGGTCAAATTCATATTAAACTCCTAAGTTGGAAATCCACAGGTGCAGAAAGGAAGTGTTTTGGAGAAAGGCAAGATGGTAGATTGAAGTATGAAAACTTCAGAGTTGGTGAGAACTGTAGGGGAAATATGATTTTTGAATGTTTATTGAAAAGAAATGCAATGTCTTGTAAAGACAGCACTGGGAAAATGACAGATTCACGGTGGCCTGAGAGGTCAGCAAAAGAGAATACATGATGTGCTGTGCTCAGTGATCTCTTCAAGAAGAAAGGACTTGGAGAAAGGGTCATGTAGATAAATGTGATAAGCAGAGAAATAGTTGAATGTGAATATTTGGAAATCATTGCATCCTCTCAGGTGAAATGAAAAAACATCATCATTAGCAAAAGTGGCACAACTTCAACCAGCAGAGGTAGATAAACAATCATTGACCACCTGAAATGCAAGAAAAATTTGGAGTGAAGCACACACTGGAAAAAAAGGAAGTTGCAAAGACCTTTTAAGAGAATGGTTAGAAAATGAAAAAATATTACTCTTTCAAAGAAGGAAAAGCAAATAAATGCTTCAGAACTGTAAAGGCAATATGACTAAATAGATAATTTTAATTATTTCTGAAATGTTGAGGCAAGATGCAACCATTAAGAGCACAATATTAGAAGATAACTTTCTCCTCCATCACGTTTTCTTGAAAAATCATATTTATGAAACAAATCTACTTCCATGGACACACTGAACTCCAACACGAAGTAGCTGGTTACAATATAAAAAAAATTAAAAAAAATAACACATCACATGAGGTGGAAATTATGACTGACAAAAATAACATAAGGCAATGAACAACTAAGGAAGGACAGAGGAGGCTGTTGAAGGTGCTGGCATCAGCCTCAGAAGCAGCCTGTTTTCTCAGATAATTATCAGGCTCTGAAGAGAAGTACTCTGCACAAAGAATCACCGGACAAGAGCATTTACCTACAGAAGGAGCTGAGACACTCCACAAGATTAATTCAGTCACATGCAGGAAATTGTGGCTGATGTCAGGGTTGGAATAACCCTGGTAGAAAGCACAATTTACCTTGGAAACAAGGATAATGCAAAAGTCTGCAATCTCAGTCCCCAAAAGAATGTGTTGCTCACAATATATTGTTCAAAAGGAACAAGCATTTAGGGAATGTGTTTTCAAATAGAAATTTTTCATGTTTTAGTTATGGTTTTTAGCAGTGTGATGAAAGAATGTGGGAAAATAAGGCCTTCACTGCAAGAGAGAGTCCTGGCATGACTCAAAAGCAAAGGACCACAACAGAGCTTAGATAATCAAACCTGGTGCCAGTGAAGGAACAAGGATTCTCTTGACCAAGAAACACTTCTCATAGACACAGATTTGCTCATCACTGTTTTGAATAAGGAAGTACAAGCACAAACATGGGATGGTCAGAGCCCTTGGCTGCCACGATAAGCGCGCTGAACGGACAGGAGAGGGTGTTCTTAAAGGCAGAGAAGGTATGAGCAGTTTCATTTCCTTACTTTGGTATGTGTTTTGTCATTACATTGTCATTTACATGTGACAGTTTTCTCAAGAAAACTGGCTGATTGAAAATTGACATTTTCCATTGCATTTATGATGGGGTTTTTTTCTGTAGGATTTGTACTTTGGGAAAACAGATCATTACAGTCTTACTGTCTGTTGTATATTGGTATTTACTGTAGAGCTGAGAATGAGTACAGTGTGTTAACAGGGTATTCAGGCTTTGGAGTAGGCTATCCAGGGAGGTGGTAGAATCACCATCCCTGGAAATGTTCAAAGGTGTGGCTGTGGCACTTGGGGACATGCCTTAATGCTGGACTTGGCACTGCTGTGTTGGTGGTTGGTCTTGGTGCTGTTAGAGATCTTTTCCAATCTTAGTGATTCTATTATTTGTGATTCAGTTCCATACAAGATGGACTGAATCACAGAATTTGGACCTGATTTTCCCTTTTTGTGACACAGCTTTCAAATCATCTGTCCCAACTGTATAAGTGAAGAAGGAAACTGTAACTTTCTCATTGCTGGTGTCACTTGTAACAGCTTTTCTGATTTCATGCTAGAGTTGCAAATGATATTAATTTGGCTTTCACTGTAAATTATTAATGAGAAAAGTAACACTGTTCAGTGTTGTTATATGTGCCTTTTGCAGTGCTGTTCAGATATAACCATTGTCACAGAACAGGGTGTCTATTCAATTTACAAAGAACAAGTAAAAACAAAATACTGATGTCTCAAGGAAGTCTAAATTGAAGACCCTGTTCCATTTGGGAAATGATACCATCCAGGGGATAGCCATAATTATGTTAACATGTCTCAGGGGTGCATGGTCTCTGGGAAGAGATGGGACTTGGTATCACAAAAAGTGTGAACTTTGTTGTCCACATGGATTTATTCTTTGATGTCTATCCATACTTGAAGCTTTTCAATATCATGTCTTCTTAAGAGGCTGAGGGGTGCCTGAGTTGTTTCAGTTCTACGTCTTTTGCAGCTGACACAAGGCCAGTGAGTTCATACAATTGACCAAAGTTACTCTATGTAACTTTGTTGACTGAACCTGTGAATAGCACGTAACAAAACATCAAAACATGAGCTGATAAGAGAACTGGGTTTTTTATTCTTTTGCACTGATTTTGTGCCATTTTCTATTCATCAATATAAAAAAGTTACTTTTATGTTCTTATTTGCACTGTAGATTCAGCATTTGTCTGCCAAAAAAATGCAAAAAACCAACAGTAATTGCATTATTTCCTTGGTAATAAATCCAAAATCTGGTTGAATTCCAGTAACAGATCCAATTCCATAGCAACACAAATGTAGCAAAATCATTTAATCATTTCACAGGCATTTCACAGTTGGCAGCTGGTTGAGGTTTAATCCAGCTGACAGCCAGCACCCTGCAGCCTTGGTCCCTCCACTGGTGGGGAGGAGAATCAGAAAGAAAAGGTAGATCTCTTGGGTTGAGAAACAATTTAATAACTGAGAAAAAATATTGCTATAATATTATGCTGATGCTAATAATTGTAATTATAATGAGAAAGAGGAAGAATTTAACAGGACTCAAGACAAGCAAGTGTGCTTTGTACTACACCTGCTGACCAACAGCCTCCCAGTTCCTGGACAGCAATCAGCCCCTCCCTGGGTAATTCCCTTCAGTTTGTATAATGAAGCTCTGTGGTGTGGAATATCCCTTTGCACAGTTTGGACCAGCTGTCCCAGCTGTGCTCCCCCCCAGCTCCTGGTGCAGCTCCTCACTGGCAGACAGGAGCCACTGAAGAGTCCTTGACACAGGGCGAGCACTGCTAAGCAGCAGCCAAAACATCAGAGTGTGATCAGCACTATTCTCATCCCAAATCCAAAACACAGCACTGTGCCAGCTTCTAAGGAGAAAATTATCTCTGTCCCAGCAGAAACCAGGACACAGTTCTAAGACTAATCTTACTGAAGTGAGTTTCTGAAGAATTTTTAGATCTGTGACTTAGAGAGGCAGAAAAGAAGAACCAACCTTAGCTTGCCCTCTCAAGTCCAAATTTGAAAGTTTCTTTCAGCTATGGTTTCATGACATGTCAGAAGTGAAGTAGATACAAATAAAATACTGCATGCAGAACTCCAAAATACCAATTAAATAAAAAGAATGTTTTCTCTGAAATAGTTATAGAATGCCTTTTGAATAGGAAATATCCTTTTTTAGTCTTCTGTCTTAAAACAATAATAATGTAATATATTTGTCCAAAGTAAACACACTCCGTTTATGAACTCCCATGTTTAGTAGAAAATTATTCTCTTTTCAAAACTTTGATGACTAATTCCTTTATTAATTAGTCTAACTGAATCTTTTATGGGGATCTTGGGTTGTGAATGGCATCTCCCTTCACATATGCTAATAAGGCTAATGAAATGAGACTTTCTCATAAATAATAAATGTATTCAGAATCAAGAAGCACTGTTCGTTTGATCATCAGAGGCTTAGATTCTGTTACTGCATGCTTGGACTGTAGTACACTGAGAACTTAATTTGGGCTCTTTTTCATCATGAATCCTTCATCTGGAAGAGAACAAGAATTTTGTTACTGTATTAGAATGCCCAGTAATGAAGGATTTGCTATCCTGAATTTCAGTGTTAAAATTGCTACTCCCTGGGTTTTGCAGGAATTAGAACATGCAGGCACACCTGATGAAAAAGTAAACAGTGCTGGAGAAGAGAATTTGACTCTCAGAATAAAAGAGCTGGAAAAGTCAAGGGAAAAACTGAAAGGTGTTCTGGAGGACTGCGTGGAGTCGAATTCCATCCTGAGAAATAGGTAAATGGAAGGGGGGGTTTGCATTAAAATTTACTGTTATGTGACAAATGTACTCTTCACTTTGCCCTGTGTACTGGTTGTCAAATGATACATGCAGAAACAGCAGAAAGAAAATCTTTCTGTGGTTTTAGTGTGTTGGAGAAGATTCATGTGTATTTTGTATATCTGTCAGAATAGAAATGCAATAATAACTTTTTAAGAATTATTATTTAAGTAAGATTTACAGCATGGCCTAGCATATTTTTGCAAATAACCAGGCAGATTTCTCAGAAGGTTTCATTCTTAAATATTCGTATGATGCAAATTCTGTTTGTCAAGTATATTTCTTTCCTTTTAAAATAAGATTTAATTTGGAATTTTGTGTTGTAAAAAAAGTTCCTTTTTTCAGAAAGCTTCATCTAATTAAGTGTGTCAATTATAAAACCATTACAGTAGATGAAGGTGCCATGATGCATTAATTATACATTTGACTAGAATAATAAGGTTTTGATAGTCAGCACTGTTCTAAAGAATATAAAGGTTAAAAAGAATAGGAAATATAAATGACATTAAAACATTTATTTGTATAATTTTTAATTGCTTTGATGTCATCAAGGAATTCTGTCAGAAATATTTTAATAATGGGACTTTTTCCAAAATAATAATCTTTTTAAAAAGATTTTTATATCACACTTCATACCATTTGGCTAGCAACAGGCAAAGCAAACCTGTATTTTGTCAAAATCCATCTTTGTGGACAAAGACAATTATGCACTGTAGGGTTTATTACCCACTGAAGGCATGTTACAAGTAAGATATTTTCACTTCAGCCCCTAAAACAGAGGTACTTGTAGGTTGCCCGTAATGTCAGCTTTGATGGGAAGCATTTACTGGCATAAAAATTGAATTTCACTGACTGTGAACCTGCCAAAATCCTATGATCAGGTACGTGCAGAGACTGAAGTGTTGTGGTTGTCTTTGTGGTGAGTTGTTACTTCATATAGCTTGGTAAACTCCATTGAACAAAAATCTTGTAAATCTTGTGTTTGCTTATGGTATTCTTATTAAGTCAGCAGAAAGGTACTCTTCAAAAATTTTGACACTCTCCAGCCTAATGTGTAAACCCCAGTAGACGTGTTAAGAATTAAGTATTTGTTATATTAGTGATCAAAAATTTGTTACTATTTTTTGGGGGAAAAATACAAAAAAAAGATAAATTGATGCATTGCTTGTGACTGCTTATCCATCTGGAACTGTGCTGTCGTATTTACTTAGCAAAAATGTTCATTCTCACTATCACAGGATGAGAGAGCTGGAGCTGTCACACAAAGCACTTCTTGTGAGGATTGATCAACTTTCTGTGAAGCTGGGCCAGGTTGAAAATGTCAATCTGCGTGTTAAAGGGAAACTGCAAAGCATTCAGGAGGACCTGATGCACTTGGTGAGGGGATTTTGCTTCAAATGACCTTGTTTATTTCCTCTTTGTGATAGTAATTTATAAGTCAAGCTCATCTCCAGTGACCTCTGTTTTAAAGCAATAAATGGTCTCAGCTCTTCACTTTTGCTACAACCAAAGAGAAATCAGAAGAAGTTTTGGATTTTTTTTTTTTCCTCCCAGCTTTCTATTTCTCTGTTGTTTTTGACAATGCTGCTGTTACTTCTCTAGTTCAGGCCCTTGATCAAATTTATGCTCCCCCTTCTTACTTTCTCCCTAGGACCTGCTCAGTGTATTCCTTAAGTCAGATTTTTTCTTTCTAGCCCCATACAACAGTCATTTTTACCTAGTTTGCTCATTCGATGGATTCATGGAAGTGGAGAATGAGTGAAAGGTTTTCAGGAACAGGCTTCAGTAAAACAATGTCTTTCAATTCTGTTTGTCATAAGATATCCTTCCATTTTATCAGCATTTTAGGTCAAAGATGAGTACTCTAACAGGACTCCAGTATTATGTGGCAAGATTCACAAGAATGAGGAATAGTCTCTGCTTTTGTAATTAAAAGTGAAATGTACTTTTCAAGACTCAGGAAGCTTAGACATATATTCCCATCAAGAGTTAACAAACCAAGATATTAGTCCACATCTACCTGACTTTTCCTTCTGACCAGTCCTAGGAAAGTACTGATGATCAAAATGACTGATCTAAAGAAGTCCTTAAAAAAACCAAAGTCATTCCTTCATGTCTCTGTGCCTTCAGTCTTGCTTCAAAGTTGCTGCTGTGTCCCTGTGATTCTGGTGGCCCTTACTCTGCTCAAAGCAAGGGCAGTACTGGACTCATGAAAACCTCTCCTGCCTTTCACTGGCATCTTTCACCTCCAAGTCTCTGTGTTCAAACACACTATAGTGCAAAGGAAAATACCAAAGCCTTTCTCAAAGTGTTTCAAAAGGCATCTGTTCCTTTCTCCTTTTTCAGCAGTCTCATAAGAGGAGCTGGCAGGTGACAGGTGTAGTGAAGAGCAGTGGGAAAATTTCTGGGCTCTGGAAAGTGTGTGTCCTGTTTTCTATAACAGAACCACAGCTCCACTCCCTGTAACACCCCAATGCTACAGTACTGTCAGTGTTAAGGATCTGTTACTGTATAAATCAGAGCTGGATATATGAATTACAGTTCTAAGGTTTATTTTGGTTTAATATGTACTTTAGAACATTCAAAAATGTGTTTAAAAAGTTCCTGTATGACATGTAGTAGCAGATGTGGATGAGTTTATTTGATTCCTACTGAGATGTTTTGGTGATGGCTGAAATGACAAAGCAGGTTACTTTTGCTCTAAATTCAGCATTTTACTTGCTTTAAAAAAATTCTACTTGTGTCATTCCTGAGTTTTCAGAAAAGAAAGTCAGAACTAAGAAAAAATATAAGTGAATAGTTATTAACAGCTGTTAACTGTATATCTCACTGAAATGATAGGTTGAAAACCAAAAGAAGTCAGAGAAGAAGAACAAGGAAAAACTGCGTTGGCTTCAGGAGCAGCTGAAGACAAAAGAGGATGAAATAAAAAGCCAGTCAGAATATTTTGAGCACTACAAACAAAGGCAGAGACAACAGACAGCGGTACTGAGGAAAAGGGACTGTTACCTTCAGGGTGAGGTATCTAGGCTAGAAAAGCAAGTCCTGGATCTTAATGCCCATATTGCTCTTTTGACATCCAAGTTAGAAGAGGGAATGGTGCAGCACCTGCAGCAGAAGCTGCAGTCAGTGTGCAGTGGGAGTCAGGGCTGTAAGTACCCTGGAAGGGAAGAAATGGAATGGAAAGCTTGTATTGAAAATGTGGAGCATGATGTGAAAAGCCACCTCAAGGCATTTCAGCAAAACCTGAAGTTCTTGAGGGAAAAAGAAGAGAACACTAGCAGAGAACAGGCAGACCTGCTGACTGAACTGCAGTGCTCTCAGAACACTGAAGACTTTCTCCGAACAAAATTGGAAGAATCTCACCATCAGATTTATAGCTTAAAAATATCTGAAATCAAACTACAGGAAAAAGTGGAAGAGCTTTTAGATGAAAACAGAACTTTAAAAGATCAAGGTACTATTAAGTTGAAAAAGAAGAAAGAAAAATACTCAGAACTTACAAGATCGGTGGATGGGGACAACAGTGTTTACCTGGTAAGTCAATTGGTAAGTAAAAATAATGCAAAATGCAATTAGTTTTTATCTTTGTATCACCCTGGATTATACCTGTCATTAGAGGTACAGTCAAGATGCAGGTGTGAGGCTTTATCCTGCCTGATTTTTTTTCTTATTATTGTTTATCCATTAGTACTTCCCAGTGTCTCTTTCACATCCAGGAGAATCAGTAGTTGGAGCTTCATTGCATCAGAGCTTTTGCTAGGTGCACATTGAGGACACTCAACAAACCTTTTTTTTCTTAACCTTTGAAGTGCTGTGCTCACAGCAAAATGCCTCAATGTGAATGAGATTGGCACTAAAAGTAGAACCCAGAACTTCTGAGACCTGCCTTGTGGACACCCCTCAGTGGAGGAGGACACAAATGGTTGGATGAGTTTTTGCATGTTATTCATTATTGCCCAAATGCTGGAGCAAAAAGCACCCTTGATAATAAATGTTGTCTCTGAGAATTTCTGGATAATTGTAAACAAGGGAAGATGGAGGCAGCGTTCATGACAAATGAGCTGAGCCAGTCAGTGGTTTGTGGCTCTGCAGCATTGTGATATGCCCTGAATACACTGAATGGGACTTGTTTGCTTTGAGCACTTTGCCCCAGCCCTGCATGGGAAAGCTCTGCTCATGCTGTAATATGGCATTCAGCTTCTGCCAATTCATTTTGCTGACAAGGAACAATTATTTTCACAGCGTGGACTCAAACAAAGTTTTATTCTTCATGCACTGAGGTGGAGGGTATTTTTATTGAGACTTTATTTAAAGTGAAATCAGCTATGCCTCACACTCATTCAGATTGTGACCTCATATCCCAGGACCTCTCCTGATTTTAACTGCAGCTAACCAAGAGGCAATGGGCATGAGCAAAAAAATTTCATCTTGGAGGTCAGTCAGACTGTGAGTACTTCCAGAACTGGGAGAAGCTAGAGAGGATCTTGTGTCCATAAAGCTAGAGGAAATATGGACTTTTTTTTAACCTGATAGTGGAGTGCACTTTTGCAGGCCTGGTGATTTTATCCCATCAGTGATTCTAGATCCCAAAGCAGTGAGCTCCAGGAGGTTGTCTCTGTGGGAGAGTGCAGAGATCATCCTGCAGTAACCAGCAGCACGTCGTGACCTCTGAGTTGAGCTCAGGAGCTGCAGCATTCCCCACATGTCTGTGGAGCTGCCCCAAGGTGGCAGAAAGACCAGCTGCTTACCATGAGCCATTGCTATAATCACTTTAACTGGTGTATTCACTTTTCCTTGGGAATGAAGAATACAGTTTAAAAATATTTTAAGATACTTTTTGAGGGACTTGCGCTGAGTCATAAGCAGATATAACAAACAAATGCACAATGAGGGTACTGCACAGCTAAAGTCAAGAGGAGTGAGGGCTTTCAGAGCCAGAGAAGAAGTAGTAAAGAATTACTATTGGTTTGATAAAATTGAGAAAAGGAGGAAAAAAAAGAGTTATTTAAACATGAGAAAGCAAGATACACAAAAGACTAATTGCCTGAGACCAATCCAGAAGTCTTCAAGAAACAGGATTCTTTCTATTTTGTACTCTAATAAAAGCCTATTTTTTTTCTTTACATGAAGTTTTCTAACGATTTATTTTTGAAATATTAATTTACATTTTTGGTGTCATAGGAGACTAGAGTCTCAGTTACCCAGTCTTTGGTATAAATGAAAAGAACACAATTTGTGTTTACTTTGCTGCAGAGTGGATAGTGTTCTTTAAATACTGTGTATAGAATCAGCAGCATGAAATCCTGTGCCTTCTGCAATTCTGATTGTCTCTTCCTTCTCTTTTGGTACTACAAGTACACTTGCATTTTTCTAGTAGAAAATGACTTGAGATAGCAAGGAAAAAAAATCAGTATCTATGATAAAAGGAGGAGGGAGACATCTGGTGTTTTTTCTGTAAAACTGAAAAGGGTTTTTCCCCCTTATCTGGAGTTTTACCAGCATGTATTAAAATAGAATTTCTCAGTCTCATCACCTCCATCTTGTAGTATTTAAGCCAAAATAGTTAAAAGACAAATCATATTTGATCTCATCATACTCCATCTATAGCTATAAAAAGGAGAAATTGTGTGCAATACAAGATCCAATTAGACTGAGGACCAAGAGGTAAACTGCATCTCATGGTGGAGTGTAGTCTCCAAGTAAATCTTGTGGAAAACTTGAATTTCCAATCTCATCTCAGTATCAGCATCCTGTCTGCAGTATTCCAGTTGCAGTACATGTCTGAATGAGAAATGAGAAATGAGCATACACCAAAAAAAGCAGCTTGTTTCATGTGGCTGTGTGTTCACTTATCAGTTTCTACCTTTGAGCATTAGGGAGGTCTGTTGAAGGTGAGGGAAAAGTATGAAAAAGCCAAGCAATGCATTTTTCTGCAGCTTCCACGTGACAGCTGAGGTCTTGATTTCTCAGTGTGATATTCTACCACCTGAGCCTTGTGTCTTATTCATTTGTGTAACCTTCTTTTGACAGTATCCACCTATAAATCAAGGGTTGATATCTGTAAAGAAATAAACAAAAAGGTGCAGGAGTGGAATGATTGTGTTTCAGGAAATTGACATTAGTTTCAAACAGGTTGCACAGAGAGGTTTTAGATGCCCTGCCCCTGGGGGTGTTCAAGACCAGGCTGGATGGGGCCTGAGCAACCTGGTCTGGTGGAAGGTGCCCCTGCTCATGGCAGGGGGGTTGAAACTAGATGGCCTTTAAGGTACCTTTCAACCCAAACCTTTCTATCAGTTGATATTACTGAGGAAATAAGGGAATAAATCTTGGAAGTGCTGTGGTTTCCACTTAAGTTGTGCCTCCCAGTCAAGATTTTTTGATAGAGCACAACAATGAGGCAGCTGACTTGGGTTGAAATAAAAATGATTCTCACTGGTGGTGCTGTGGAAAATCAGCAGTCTTTCCTGAATCACTAGGAACTGAAGACTTGGAAGTCATTACCTTTCCCATCCATATGTAATTTTAAAATTGCAGCTCAGTGCAAAGGGCTCAGATTTATTTTCTGCTGGTGTTTGATTCAGGGCACTGCAGCAAGACAAAAGGGCCTGTGTTGGCATGGTTTCTGTTGTGCAGCTGTTTTGGTTACTGTCTCAGTGATGTGTTTTGTTGAGACAGTCAAATCTGATTCTTCTGTTCACTAAAAATGAGCAAAGTGCATGTGAAATGTGACCTGCTGTTATCAAGCAATAGGGGTATCTGCTTTGCATCAGGAAGTGTCAAAATTTTCAAATTCAGTCAGGGACTCAACATAAATGTCAAGAACAGAATATGAAATATGCAATTAAATTATCAATGGAAAAACAAAATTTTGTTCAGAATGGTTATTCCACTTGGAGTTCTTCCAACCTAGGAACAATTGTCGTTGTAGCTGGGCACTGAACTATTAGTCTTATTCCCTTCTTGATTAGACTTTCTTTTATCTTTGTTGATGACCATATAATTTAGTCACTGTTCCAACGGTGACCTGACATATTACATGCTTGTGGCTCAGATTTCCTTCCTTAATGCTTTGTAAAGTATGAAGGGAAAACTAAAGGAAAGTCTACAATTACAGTAGTTACTGGAAAATGCTGAAATAAGAAAATTGTATGAAATAATAGTGGTTCTAAGGAAATAATTTGTCTTTTGAATGTAAAATAACAAAGGAAATTTATTTGCCTGTTTCTTATATCACAAATACTTGTATATGTATATAACCTGTGGGGTTTTTTCCTTCTCCCCCCCTTTTCCCAGGATGAAGTTCAGCATCTGAAATGGAGGACAGTCTCGGATTCACTTAGAAGCAGAGCTACTCAAACTCCAGTTGTGCTGCTACATGATAAAGAGTCTGGTATGCAAAGAGATCTGACTTTTTGCTCTCATTTCTGTGTGATTTAAGTGAAAATTATTTCATTCATGGAGTGTGTATGACTTAAAAGGTGTAAACCCTTTGAAAATCCTCCTAATCTGTAAACTGTATCTGGGGAAGGTGAAATGATAACTTTTTGCCACTATTTGGATATGAGCTTTCACAAGAAATCCTAGAACTTTCAAGAAGCTACAGAGGTGAGGGGGTACTTTGTATGTCCTGGATGAAGTATAGTATTTGGGAATGCCATGCAGCAGACAGATTTGCTCTTCAGACCAAACAACATGAAAGCTCTTTTGTTGGCAGATTATATCAGGTAAATTCTTCTAACATAAATTAATGGGAATTTTATAGCAAATTTTAGTGTATGTATATCCACACCTGCAGTGAGTAATTTTAATCTGTAAATTTAATCCCTAAGTTTTTACCTGCCCACTGTAATGAAATGTATTTTCTGTTTCTAAGTGCTTTGGGAACTGGGAACTCTGAACCCCAAATACACCTTGGTTTAGACCTCTATATTTATGGGGTTTTTATGAAGCTCATTTTCGTGTCTAACTTCATGCTTGTATCTGTCTCACTGGTGATGAATGCTGCTGATAGAGAAGGTAATTTTGAGCATACTCACTAAAATATTTTTCTGTTCAGAACATCTTCTCTGATGGTTTTGGGTTTGCTTTTTGTGTAACTATCTGGGAGTGACATTATATTTACCTGTGCTTCACCATAACAGAAACACCAGCCTGTAATTGTGAGGGACTAAAGCAGATGGAGGAGCTTCCAGAAGACCTTGTACCAGTTTTGGAATGCAGTTCCAGTGCCTTTGTGAAAGTTGCTGGTCTAGCTGAGACTGAGCAGGTGAGAAGAAAAGTTACTGCTGTTCTTGCTATCTTTGTGCACTGGGAGCATGTGAAATTGGAGAGAAAATGAAGAGTTGGTGTATTTAAAGGTGAATATAAAAGTAGCTTTAGATTATAGCTACTACAGATGCTTTACAAGGTGAATACAGATGTGCACTAAGACAATGGTTGACTTACTCATACCTAATTTGTAACATTACACTCGTTGCAAGTCTTTAAATCATTTGAAAACCCTTTGTATGGAAATATTTTTTCTCATAAATGTGTAACCAAGTATTTTGTGGATCAAGGGGAAAACAAGTTATGATTAGTAACAGACTGTAGCATATATTTTTCAGCTTGAAACATTTCTCATTTGCTGTCATCAGGTCACCCTTGGACCACAGAGGGCAAATACTCTAAAGGACAGTTTGAGGTGTACCCCAAGTCATCATGCAACAGGACTGCTTCCCCCTTGTTCTGAGAAGTTACCCAGTGATGAGACAAGTAAGGAAACCAAAGATGAAGAAACTTTTTTTCTCTTGAAGGAACACACCATAGCTCCACCAGTGAAGACATTCCCTGCTTCTGTGGTTGAAATCTTAATGAGAAAGAAGATCCAACTGACCTTGTTTGAGCCTGGGAGATGTCACATAACAGCTTTCACCACTGAGAAGAAAGTGAGGAATTTGAGTTTCTGTGAGAAAAAAATTAATCTTTGGTCTGATCGTCTTTGCATTGTTGCAAAAGGAGAATTTCATGACAGAGCTACTGAATTTCTTCATGGGACATTGCCTTCCACTGTGGCTGAAATTTTCACAACATCTCTAGAAGAATGCAACACAGAAAAACATTGGGGAAACAAGCAAATTCTGCCAGGAAGTGTGAGTGAGAAAAAATGTCTGGATAAAGATGTGGATGATGAAAAGTATCACCAAAAAATCTTTACAGGGAGAGCTGAAAGAGAGGAAATACAGAATGATGAAGCCAAACATCAACAGGTGACATGTGATCTTGAGGAAAGTTCTAAAGTTTCCTACAGAAATGAATTATTCAGTCCTGGGAAGCAAGGATTGGAAGCCAGAGAGAGTCTCCATAGCACACAGGGTGCCCAGAGTTTACCTATTTATTTCAAAGTCTTTCAAAAGTGTTTTGAAGCGAGTCCTGAACGAATGGAGAAAGAAGAAAACATTTCAGAAAACTGCATCCCTGATGTGAATAGTGAACATAATGGAGAAGACATGATGGAAATGGAAGAGAAAGGAAAGCAGGCTCAGAAACCAACTCACCAAACAAGCCCCTCCAGCAATATTGGCCTGAAAAAAAGGAAAGACCAGACTTTGAAACTCCATGAACCAGATAAGGATTTCTCATGTCAAAAAATAGCTGCTAAAAATGTGCAGCATGAATACTCTCACTTTTTTTTTTCATCAGATGAAGAGAGATATCTGCTAAACTTGCTGTTTCCTCTGCAAGAGAGGCCTGTGTGCTTAAGCAAAATATTCCAGCCAGGGAACAGTTTTTATAGGTGTTTCTGTCCTCTATCAACCTGGAAAGCTGGAAATGAATGTGATGTGAGAATATCTGTATTGGAAAAAGCAGTGGCTGCGTGTTCTCAGAGGATATTTCTGCTGATGCAAGAGAATGAGAATTATGCCAAAAAAGTCAGTATTTTACAACAGGAGAATGACAGATATGCCCAGATTCTGTGTGCCCTGGAAGAGGAGATGGATGCATATTTTCAATATGTTTTAGCAGCAGATGAAGCTAACATAGTTTCATTCCAAAACTTACTTAATGAGAAAGAAATTGCTGGTGGATGTTTTGATAACTTTACAGAAGAAAGCACCATGACCCCAGGAACATCTTTAGTTGCAACTTTTTCTAAGAATCTCTCATATGTTGAAGAGAAAAACAGGAATTTTGAAAAAGACTCATGGACAATTGCATCAAATAAAACTCACAGGAGTGTTCTATCCCTGAATGGAAGGAAAATCAGATACTTCCAGCTGCTTTCTGATCTGAAAGAAGAAAGAAGCAGGTGCTTCAAAGAAATGGCTAAATTATTACAAGACAAGGAGAACTGTGTAGCAAAATATAATGAATTACTGCAGGAGAGAAAGAGAAATTTACAAAGAATAGCTCTTTCAGAAGGTGAAAAAGAAACTTTGCTGGCACAATTGTCAGAGATAAAGTGTGAGCAAGATGAATACAGGGCCTTAGTTTCAGAGCTCCAAGACTGCAAAACTAACTGTTATCAAACCATTTCTGACTTACAGGAGGAAAAATGTGTGCTGCAAAGAGAGATTGACAGAATCAAGCAAAAAACTTCAGCACAGCTCGGTGAACTTCAGAAAGCAAATGCAAACTTTATTTTAGAAAATAAAAATTTAAAAGAGTTAATGTCTTCTTTGGGTTTCACTTATGAAGAGCTGAGAAAAGAGAAAAGTATAGGAACAAACAAAAATACAGTAAAACTAAAAGAAGAAAATCAACAACCTGGTCTTAAGCCAAAGAAAGTTGAAACAGCATGTAGTGTAACACAAACTGAAGAACGGGGAGTTCTGGCTACAGATCCTTCTGATTATTCCCCTGGCAAAAAGGTAAATAATAACAGTAAGGAATGTTATTGATCAGGATCTTCTGAAGAAAGGGAGATACAAAAGTCATTTGGAGGGCAAAGCTGAGTGATGGAGGAAACTGTAACCTGTCACATGAGCTGAGGTGCTAAAGTTAGTTTGGAAACAGAAGGCAAAATGCCAGAGAGGGTTTTTTTTTTTTGAATGTTGTATTAGAGAACGTTAAAGTGATACAGCAAGCTACAAAGTTAAAAATAATACTTAAAAGACTGCACTGTTCAGGCTTTTAAAAAAATTATTTCTATTATTTCAAGAGTAAAAGCTTTTACAAGAAGCTTTTATTCTACTACAAGTTCTCCTAACAGAAGGAAACTTTTTGTAATGGTGAAAATATCATGTTTTGGTGAAAAGTGTGCACATGATCATTTACTAATTTATTTTTTATTTGGTCTAATTTTTTATTGTTTTGATGTATATGAAGTATATCTCTAAAGACAGGATCTTTAGTTGTGGTGGATTTCTTATCCTTGTTTTTCCTCTGTAGCCATGTATCTTACACCACAGTGAATTTCTGTGGAGAATATTATGTACTTATAAATGCAGAATTACTACTTCACTTAAGAATAGACAGCAGGAAAATATTTATATGTAATACCTTGATTTTATGCAAGTTTTTGGTAGTAGTTTAAGAGGAAACCATCTATTGTTCTATGAAAGACTGAGTGCCATTTGGTACAGGTGAGAGGAGTCATCCTGTCTTTTTGTCTACCCAGGGCAGCATGTTTGAAAGCTACAGTATGATGAAAGAGCAAGTCAGAAAGGTGGAAGAGCAACTAAAAATACAGCAAAAGGAATTAGAAAAATCAAAAAAAGAGGTAACCTACTCTGATGTACTTCTGAGGACCAAATTTGTTTTTTCTTGTGTTTTCTTACATGGCTTTTTGCCAGGCTCTAACATTTTCACAAAACAGGGAAGTCTCTGATCTAGAGAACCAAAATGTTCCTCTGATCTTTGAGTGATGAATGGCACAGTCCCCCTTGGCTGGCCAGAATATCAAGTGAAGCTGCATTCCTGCAACACACTGTGCCACAGGCTGGGTGCCCCGATAGAGGCACACACAACAACCTGCCCACTCTGGCATCTCTGGGCAGCTGCTTCCCTCCAATCACTGGGAATGAGGAGAAGGCAGTGGAAGCACTGAGGGTTACTGCAAACCTGAATTGAAAGCAGTTTTTGAGTGAGAAGCCAGATCACTGTCAGGGGTTTGCTGTATCCAGAGGCGTTGCCAGGTGTGCTGCTGATTCTCCCACAGCTGTATAGCAAACACCAAGTCCAGCAACACCACCTTGGAGACTTCCAAGTGTGGAGGGGCAGCTCTGTGTCTGTGTGACACAGAAAAATCTGCACTTTTGACACCTTCCAAGGAATCTTTCAGTGTTGTGCCTTTCCAAATGCACCAGATATTCACATTCCTGTTTTTTATTAGTTGATCTCCACTCCATGCACATCTAAGCAGAATGTTTTGGTTTTGTGGCAGGAATACATTTATGGGGTTGTAACAGGCATCACTCACATGCCCTGTGGACAAACCATTGGCAGCAGCAGGCGTGTTGAGTATGTAAAAGAAAAATAGCAATGGGGTTTTTTTGGTAGGTGAATTTATTGTCCTTTGAAAGCAGCTTTATAAGACTTCCCAGCTTTCAAGTGAGACAACTGGAATGAAGGGATGGATTTAGATGACTGTTGGATGGTTAGACAAGACTTCTGACCTTTTATTTTGAACATAAAGAGACAGTTTCATTTTTATTTCTTTTGTAAAATCTGATTAACTTGGGTCATTCTAATCCTTTTGTGTGTTATGAGGAAGTTGTGTGTTAAAATACTTTCCTCAGTTTACTTAAAATAATGTGAAACCTTTGCTTCCAGAAGGGAGAAAAAATGGTATATCATACAAAGGAAAGAGCTTGCTGTCAGGCAACCAGCTGAGCTATTGAGGGGCTTCTTTGTGGTTTTTGGTGTAGGTTTACTTTTGTTTTCAAAACTACAGTTAATGTGTGTAAGTGGAATGAAGGCAGCCTAGAAAAAAATTAAAAGGTGAGTATATGGAGGGCTTTTTTTTCCCCTTCTTTGCACTCTTCATTTTTGATATTTTTGCTTTGATTCTTAAACTGAATTAAACACTGCATTGTGCCAGCTACTAAGGAGAAATTAACTCTGTCCCAGTTGAAACCAGGGCACATTCCTCAAGAAAACTTTTTTCCCCTGCCCAGCTAATAAACTTGCTTGAACTTTACTCTGAGGTCTTTCAAAAATGTAATCTCTGAAATCATATGTGCATACACCACAGCTTTTTTAAACTTTGTTCTGAATATTTATGGTAGCTTCTTGTTTAAAAATAAATTTAAATAATATTTTTGACACAGCTCTAGTAAGATATTCTATAGGGCATACTTCTAGAGTTGCATTAATGTCTTATGATAAGATTGTAGTGTATTGTGTAGGTTCATTTATTTTAACCAATTTATAACAATTCAAAAGCTATGATGTAGAGAGCAGCCTCACATCCATGGTTGTAAGCTGGTATTGAGAAAGGATCCCTCTGCTGGACTAATTATACTCAGGAATTTTTGTTCTTCCTGTTAGGCTCAGAAGTGGTACAGAGAGCTTGGTTTTGCTGAAACAAGGTATGAAGAAACCAAAACTCATTTGATGCAGGCTCTCTCAGAATTAGACCACCTTAAACAAGAAGTTGGGGACAAAACGCGGGGAAAGCAGCACTGCAAATTAATGGTATGTATGTAAATGGCATGGAGGAAAGCATGGGCCTTGGGAGGACGGTTCTGGCTGCAGAAACACACATTATTGGTATTGGGAATAGAATTAAAGAGCCTCTCCAGGCACTGAAAACTTAAAAGAGAGCAGATGTTGTGCAAGGTAGACCATCTGTCTGCAGAGTAGCCCAGGTTCTGGGCTCTGCATGGGCAATGTAAACATCTCATTTTTTTGTCTAGGAGAGCTCTTGTTCTGCTCTCTTTAGCCAAAGTCATATTCAGATGGCCTAAATGAAAGGTCTTGGAGGAGTCTGCAGTGTTTTGCAGTATTTGGCTTTTCTGCCCTGATTTCAGGCCTTGTAGCCCTGATTGCTGGATTTGGGCAGGCAAAATGACACTCTGGACAGATGGTGTGGATTAAAGTCAGAGTCTTTAATGGAGGCATATGGCCCAGATATGTGTCTCCAAAATCCAGGAAATCTTTCTATCTCACTGGAATGTGTTTATATCACAGAAATTCTGGGTTTGCTGTAAATTAAGCTTTTTTTAATTTTCAGGTGGTTCTCTGTCTTCATACAGGTTTATGTTTTCCACCAAAATAAAGTGTTTTAAAGAAACATTTTTAATTACTGAATAATCTTCTGGAAGCAGCTTTTATAAAGACTTTTCAGCTAACCCTGTAATTATTTTCGCCCTCCTTAACTCGTGAGCTGCAAAGAGGAAATACTTCATTTCTACTAGGTGGAAAAGCACATTGTAGCAATCTACAGATATTTGCAGATTTGTTTGGAACAGGTTGGATAGATATGGCTTTAGCAGAAAATAGAAACAAATTCTGCAAAATATAAGGATTCTGAGGTCAGTTCAGTTGCCTAAATGTCATTGTTTGTCCCAGTTAAAAGCCTTAGGGCATCCTGGCTGAAGGTGTAGGTAGCCAGGAAGTCCTAGGCAGTTATTTCATGTTAGCTTGTACACTCTACATGGCACTATGGGCTGGTGTTTAGACAGCTGAATTCAGACTTTTAGATGAAAAAATTTAAAATATTTTTCATGTCATTCTGATGTGTTGGCATGTAGCATCCTAATACAATAGAATCTATTTCAAGCAAGAAGAAATGCCCAAATTGTTTGAAAATAAAAAGAAATGTGTCACATGTTTTGTTTAAGCCAGCAGATAAGATTTTGGGTGCATTTTTGGGAAATGGAGCATTAATCATTTTTTTTAGGGAAATGGAGCTTTAATCCTTTTTTTAGGGACAGTCTGGGGCAATTAGTGTTTATTATGTTAGTCAGTGAAGTAAGATGCTAATTATGACTCACATGGGAATAAAATTCATGGGCCTTGACAGAATATTTTTACACTGGAAAAAGAGGAGTCAGCCTTGCACTACAGAACCCTGCCTCTTTTAAATCCCTCCAACAACTTATGTTTTCAAATTAGTGTTCATTGGTCAGTAGGATAGATTTATGCAATACTGTGATGCTGTTTAGGTCTGACTTCTTGTAGGTTGTTGTGGTTTAGTGCCAAATTTTGGAATACAGGTGTCTCATTCTAGGGTCAAAGATGCAGTCCATGCACTTCACAGAACTGGGTATATCCTTCAGTTTTTGATGGCAGAACTAATTCTCTGCATAACTCAAGTCCATTATGTTTTAACCAAATAATATTTATTTTGTTGGCACAATTTAGCAAGTAGTCAAATAGAAAATAGAATAGTATATCTTAAGAAAGGTCAACTTTATTTCAATAATTCACCTTTAAAATAAACTTCTTAATATACACCAAGCTGTTGGTAGCGGGTTTGTGTGAGACCTTAAAATGAAAGTTTGTCTCGATTAAAAAAAAGACACTTTGTCAGAGAAAAGATCATTATCTATTTTTCTAGCATCATGTTACTTCCTGAAGGCAGTTTTATTGACTGGTGATCCAGTTTTTGTTTTCAGTTACTTTCCACCCTTGACCAAAACTCTTTTTCATTACTCAAAGTTACTAATAATCCCTTATACAGTAAATCACAGTAATTTATGCTTTTTCACGTTCAAAACTTTATTTTTCTGGAACACCTCTTGCTGCAATGCCTGAAAGAGTGAAGATGTGAGCACTCTGAGCCTAGAACCCAAAGTGTTTGAAATATGCTGTGTTTTGAGTGTGTCTTGTAGAGCTTTTTGCATTTCTTATGTTCTTGTCATGGTTTGAGCCTGGCACAGAGCCAGTGCCTTCATGAAAATGCCTTCACCCTGGTGTCTGCTGTGAGATGTGACCAGGAATAAGCAAAACAGGCTCCAACTTAAACATAAAGAACACTTTATTACTTAAACTACAGGAAAATAGGGAAAGACTATAAGGAAAAGAAAAAAAAATTGAAAACCTTACAAAAACCATTTTCCTCCTCCCCACTACCTGACTTTCCCAATCCGATACATTCTCCCAAATCACCAACTGCCCAGCCTGGCACCACACTTTAGTATACTCAAACTTCAGTTCATGAAGAGGAGAGGAGTCCTTCTTGTTCCATACGCTTCCCCTGGAAACACACTGAAACTTCGTGTGCTTCCCTGTCACTTCGGCACCGCCCCTACTGCCCAGGGATCCTACTTGTCACCTGAGATTCCATAAGGCTGTCATGATATTATTCATTGCAAGTAAAAGAGAGCTAAGATCATATATTTGAAGCTTGCTGCTAGGACTCTATTTCAGTGAAGTTGCTAACAGGTGAAATATGCTTTAGCTTAGAAGCATTTGGGTGAGTTTTCTGGGATGTTGAAGTGGTGCTGTAGTTGAATTTAAGAGAAGTATGGGGGTGAGCAGGAAGGGGGCAGGGTAATGTTTACAGCTTTAAAAAATAATTGAAGAATTTTGCATGAAATGCAGACAATAAATAAGGCACAAGGCTTGCCCAGTGAACTCCTGATGACTGTCTGCAAAAAAGGCCTGTAGCAAAAAAGGTCATATTCCTTCTCATTTTCTCACTGAGTTTTCAGACAAGCATAATTCACATAAGAAGAGGAAGATACTGGTTTTATTTTTAATGTTTGGGTACCAACTTCAAAAAGTAGTGGTCTTGCCACGTTTTACAAGAATGCAGTGTGTTAAATACTGTGTTTTAGGCTTAGTTATCCTTTGGTTATTTCCCAGTCCCAGCTGCTGGGTCCTTCAACCTTCTGCAGCTTGACTACATAACCCATGGTCACTGCAAACTGGGACATCTTACAAAGTGCTCATCATAAATCTTGTATGCCTCATTTGTGTGTTGGAACTACAGAAAACTGCTGGTGGTTCAGCCAAATGCAAAAGGAAAGAGGGAAGTTCTCTCTGTCTCTAACCTCCACACAGTTGTTTTATTTCCCCACCTTTTTTTCCATAAAGCTTCTTCAGTTAGGGAGTGTTTCCCATTTGGTTTTAACATACTTTTAATATGGGAAAGAAGATAAGGGAAATACCATGTCATGGGCTCATCCTCAGGCTTTTGTCCCTTTTTAGCCCTGGTCTAATCCATGGTGATGTGTCCAGCTGTTCCTATTGTTCTCTTGACACAAGAGGGAGCCAAAAAGTTTGGTACAAGGCATCCAACCTGCTCCAGTGCTGTGCACAGAGGACTGGCTTCAGGAGGAGGAGCACTGTGACAGTGACATATTTCTGGTTTAATCTGTGTTGCACTGATGGGCTGCAATGTGATCTGTCAGCTCAGTTTGCTGTTCCCTGTGGAATGGTGCCTTCAGTGTGTTGTAGTCAGGGGTGCCAAAGCCAGAAAGGCTGGGAAAATTTTACTATGGTGTTGTGCATCAGGGCTGAGTATGAACTTCTCTCTCAGTTGTATCAATGTTTGTAACCATTAAAATCATTCTGTTTTGCAAAAAAGTGATACAGTTTTACCACAGTATATCATGGGTCAGACTATAATTTTTAGCTTAATCTTTTAGACTTGCTTATATACTGATACTTACATTGTCAGAAATCTTGACCAGCTGTGTGTATCAACTCAGTATTTTCTTTTATTATATTTTAATAAATATATATAATAGCATTGGTGTTTTCCAGGATATTTCCTTCTCCTTCAGATTTGTCTCATTCTAAATCTATGTGTTTAATCAGGCAGTGTCACTTGTAGGAGCTGACCTTATGATGCTGACCATCAATTTAAAGCTCTCACTAATCCTTTCAATCTAAGTGCATGAAATTGGGAAGAAACGAAATTGAAGAGTGGGGGATGAGGAGTTAAATTCAGAAGCTTCTCTTTCCACTTGCTCTATGTTATGATTGTTACATTTAATGCAACAAATTTTATTTTTAGAAATTTTTACTTAAGATCTTATTAGTTTATTAATAATCTTCCAGAACAAATACATATTTGGGAGAGGGGGTTATCTCTCTGGCATTAATACATGTAGAAAAACAAGGAACATATTACTTTTTGTTGAAGCAGGAGACTGGGAACATCTGAGTTTTTTTCTTACTATGTGACCACAGATTGGTCACTTCATCTGTCTTTGCCCAGTTTCCCCATTACATCACTACAATACATATATTTACCTTGAAGAAATGTTGTAGGAATCCATTTCTATGCTTCTTCTCACAAGGGTTTAGTACTCTTTACATATAGTTTAAGATTAGTGCAAAAATATAAGTGTTAATATGTTCATGAAATTTTGGGATTATGCATGTTTTAACAGCTTGCTTCTTTTTATGTACAAGGTAAGTAGTTATATTGATTGGGAATTTTTGTGGTATAAGACATGATTAAGAATATTTTTGTTGTTTTATATACCTAAATTGAAAATCTGTGTATTTTCTCTCTAGCCTGTGTACACATTGAAGGATGCCCAGGAAAAAGAGGTGAATAAAATAGCCAGTAAGAGATTAGAGCAGCAAGTGTTGACCTTGAAAGCCCAGCTCAGGGACCAGGCTGCTTTACAAAATCAGTTTCATGACTTGCAGAATGAAGTGGAACTCCTTCAGGCTCAACTATGTGAAAAGGTATAAAATTGTTCTCTTTGCACTTAAATGTGAGCTTAGATGTCAGATTCTACATCTCTCTTTTCAAAGGGGAGAAACAAAATAGTCTTCTTTCCTGGGAATGAATCTGAGGATAGTTAAATGGTTCCCAGGCATATACAAGTACTCCTAACTTCAGAGAAATAGGGAAAAGATGTAAACTACCTAAGTGATCCATGTTATGGAAAAATGATAGATGATCATGAAGATTCAGTCTCTGCTCTGATTAATCCCCATAGTGTAATGCGAGCACAATGATGTGCCACCTCCTTGGCTTCAAATGTCAGGATTTTTTAACATTCACAACTCTCTTTTTCCACTATATCAGATTATGACACTCCAAGCTAATTTTGATAGAGTTTTCCTAACTTTTTGGTTCACCTGTTAGGGTTACACATGAAGAGTTTCAGTAAGATATTTTCAGACAGGTGTGTGGTTTGGATTTTTGTCATAGTTATTCTGATGAGAAGCCCCATGTATTCACAAATGCACTGAGACAAGCAGTTTCTACATTATTTTTCACCTGGCAAAGAGCAGGTACATTAAGATTTGCAAAGCTGCTTACAGCTTTACAGTGTTACAGTACAGCTGCTTACTGCCTTACAGTGTTACAGCAAAGCTGCTGCTGTAAGTGTGACTACAGCTACTGAACTCTTGGGTAGAAACAAATTCCTCCTAGGACTTCTTTCCCTTAGATTTTGTTTCCTATTGGGAACTATATTTTGGAATAGGATAATAGTTACAGTGTGAGCCAAATTGGAATTGCCCACCAGGCTCTGAAACAGCTACGAAATGGCATGTTCTCAATAGTGCTCTTTGTTCTTCATAGCCTGACACAACGAGTAGAACATGCTTCTTCTCTGAAATACAAGAGATTATTGTCTTCTCCCTACTGGGAACAGGTTTCATTCTGCTTTCTCCCCAGTAAATCCATCTTTCTACAACTTTTGTTTCTGTTTTGTTGTTGTTTGTCTGTTTGTTTGGTGGTGGTAGCTCTGTTTTGTTTTTCCTAGCCTCACCCTGTGCTGTGGTTTGCTCTAAACCAGTCCTGTGAAGAGGGTTAGTGGCTTGTCCAGGCATGGGTTGGGGGAGGCCTCTTAGAAGAACAGTGCTGGTAAAATGAAACTGTTCTGTAGTATCACATCAGGTGGTAGGTGAGTAAAGGGTGAGATGTGCTGTCCAAATAAATGGACAAATCCTAATTCTGTTGCCTCAGCAAGATGTGTTGCTCCCTGCCTCATCAAGAGTTGAATGTCTCCAGTGCAGGAACCTACTGCTAGCTCTTTGTTCCCCTAGTGCAATGTAAATACAAGTTTCCCCTGTCCTGCCTGCTCTGATTCCTCCCAAGCCCACAATTTATTAGCTGAGGACAATGTGACCTTTTCCAGCATAACTGATTTCTCATAAAGGAGGGTTTTTTAATGATGAATATAATATACTTACTGTAAACTTTATAGAAATATAAATTGTCAGGCAAGATAAATGCAAAGTAATCTTTATTGTCAAAAGTACTGTATTTATTCATAATGGTAATGGATTTTTTGTAGCAAGATACTGTGGTTTTTTTGCATAATCAGAAAGGAGGGTTATCAGTAGATTTTAATCATAAGGTACAGACTAAGTAATCTGGCCCACCCTGCTTCACCTCCTAATAGAGGACATGTATCAGCTGTGTCAGAGTAAAAGGCTGTTGATGTTTCCTTTCCAGAGTAGAATATATATGCAGAAAATCCTTCCTCTTTTCTCTAATTTATAGTATTGATAAGGAAAAGGAAAATTTTCCCCCAACAAATGTTTTGGAAGATTCACAGAGTAAATATGATCCTGAGTGCATAATGAAGGATACCAAGTCTTGACTGTGATGCTGCTTTGATTAAATAGCCTCACTGATCTAAGGCTCCATCTAAGAACATCCAAAACCCTTTGATAATTTTTAGACTAATGCTAATGTAGGGCAGTGTTTGTATGCCAGAGCCTATTTGTGTGCAGCCAGTGCCTTGCACTGATTCATCCTGTTTGTGATACAGGGTCACACAGGTATGCAAAGTGTGCACCTCAGAGTCAGGTCTAAAACAAATATCAAAAAAACACTGGAGTATTTAAAAGTAATTTTTTTATAAATTGATGCAGGATATTATTCAACCTTTCAGGAGAAAGAGCTGCAGAAGAGCAAGTCTGAAGTGAAGTTGACATTAGCTCCTCTGAAGGTACTGTGTTTCCCTGAACCCTGATTCAGAACCTGCACAGGGGAATCCCTTTGCTTACAGGCTCTGTGCCTTCCTCTACAGCTGTCCCTGTTTTTCTGGTGCTGCTGCCTTCACCTCAGTGAGCAAGGGCTCACTGATATCATTGCAAAGTCACTTTCAGCCTCTCAAAAGGGGGACCTTGCACATGGAAAGGGAACATCTCTTTCCAGTTTATCTGTGCATATATATTGAAGGTGTGGAGGCATCTAATAATATAGAGACATAGAAATACAGTCTGTAGCTTTGGGTCAAAATGTGGAATTACAGATTAGACACAAAATGTAATCTTGCACTCCCAGAAGCGAGTGAAATGACAGAGCCATGGGATGTTTGTGTGTTCATGCCACACAGGCTAAGCTGGCTTGCCTCACCCAAAAGTGCCAGGAAAGGAACAGCTTCATTAGGAGGATGCATGATGAATTCCACAGGCAAGGATTTATTAACTCTGCATTTGATGAAGAGATGAAGAGCCTGGTGAATGACATGACCCTGGCAGAGTACATGGTTGCTTTTACACCAATGTGTAATCAAGTGGTAAGTGCTCCTACTTCCTTGTAGTATCCTCATGTGTACACTATTGAATTAAGTGGTGGTTTTCAAAGTGTTTAGGGAGACTTAATGTGCAATTGTAAAACATATTTCATTGCTTAATGTAAGTATTGCTTCAGACAAATCATGGAGTTGGCCATTTTACTGTTGCTGTTGGCAGGGTCTAAATTTCAGGAGCTTAAAGCAAAGTGCATCAGTGTTCCATGCAAGAAACACTCCCCTGGTATTTTGACTAAGTATCTGATGGATAATGCAGCATGTATTACCCAATTACATTTTAAATATAAACTTTGCATTTCTTTTCTGCACAATGAATTGTTTCAGATTTCTGAAGAAGTCAGGGAAAAAAAGGTCAACTGTGAATATTTTAAGACTTAACTCGTGAACATTTGTAGACTTAACAAATGTGAAGATTTGTATTCAAAAGGGAGTTGGTCACTTGTGTTTCTCTGGCAAAGCAAAAGTGGGAAAGGAAATTTCACACCTGGTTATATTCAATATTGTCATTAATATCTTGGATACTGGGAATAAACTTCCTAATTTTGGAGTTACACCTACTTGAAGACTTTCTTAAGGACAGAAATCTCAATCTGGCAACCTGAAAAAACAGGAATTCCCTTGCAGTACTTCAGTGTCCATCAAGAAGTTCTTTTTCCTTTTGATGTCTGTTTCTTGGGTTTTTTTTTTTAAAGCCTGTAAAGTACCCAGACAATATTTGATAATGTTTGTGTCAAGTACACTGGAGTAGAATCTTTTTGGTTAAAAGTGGGGTATGGGGAAGAAGTACTGTGTGTTACACATTTATATAATTTTGTGTGCTTGTAAAAAGAGTACACAGAATTGGTTCATACTATATATTGTACTTCAGCTGACACAATGCACTGCAAAAATGAATACATAAAAAGAGTTTATCTTAATGACACTTAACATTTTCACCAGCAGAAGATTATCAAAATTGGCATATAGTATAGTAAATCCACAGGCTTATTTTTGTGATGATTTTGCACTTTTACACACCGAGTGGTATTCTGTATCATGTTGATAGTGCTTATTCTTACAGTGTTACTAAGTCTTGCAAGCTATCACTCAGTCCTGTTTGTTTTTGTAGCAAAAAGCAATTTAACTGGATGTTAAGGAAAAGGTGGATTGATTCCTGGCTGCAGGATGGGACAGGACTCTGTGTCTGGCTGTGTCTCCTTGAATACCTCAAGTGTGGGTCCAGCAATGCCTCACCCAAGCTATGGGACTCATCTGTCAGAAGGGAGATAGTACTCCCCTGCCTCCAGGCTTTCCTCAGACACTGCTGTGATAGATAAGCATTAATAAAGCTTGCCAACACAATAAATATCAAAATACTGTTCACACTCACACTGTCTCCCTAAATGTTCAATTACCACAAAACTTAGCAGGTTCAACTTCTAGGTTCAACAAGAGATAATTAGATTAAATATGTATTCTGATAGCCAGTGAACTTATCTGCAGCATAGAGCCCCACATTAAATCCCCTGCTTTGACAAATATTTAGCTGTTCATATTAAGTGGAGCACAAGCCCCTTCCATGGTGTCCAGCATTGCAGTGGCCACAGGTCTCACTTAGGCTCAGGCACAAATAGGATTCAAGCCTGGGGCTTTTATCATGTGAGGAACAGACTGGCTCTTGCTGGATGTGCTCACACTGAGCTGAAGGCTCCTCTGGTCTGTGATAAATCCTTCCACATATGACAGGGGGAAACTTTCCTATCAAGGAAGAGTTGCATGTTCTCATGAAAAATGTCTATTTCTATCAGGTTTCCAGTGGAAGACACTTTCAATAAAAAAATTTCCAAGTTTCACAACTACTAATTTAATGATGATTACAATAAAAAATAAAAAAAAAAGGAGAGAGACTGTTTCATATTCATGTGACACATTCCTTTGGTTTAAAAGATCTTGTACTGAATTGTGTGGACATATGTTTAAGTGAACTAACTTTTCATCTTGGAAATTTTATTTCTTGCTTTTGATTCTTATTCTCCCTGGACTTCACATCTAAGATTCCAGAGCTATACCAAACATGCATTTACATAAAATTCTTTTGAAAGCTCATTCCTTCCTTCCCCTCAGTTTTTCACTCCTACAGCATTCATAACATTAGAATTCTACTATACAAAACCTGGTGGATTGCTGTTTTTTGGGGAGGTTTTTGCTTTTATTTTCCTTCTTAAATTAAAGATTTGCAATTGTCTTTATTCATTATTGGACCCAGTAACAAGTGGAGCCCTGTCACACATTGGCAGCAAACTTCTGTGCCCTGACTTACTGATGAATTTCAGCTCAAAGTTTGCAGTGATGAATGAAGAAATGACCCAGAGGCTTTTGAAGGGAAAGAGGACTCTGTACTCAATTCAGGGCCTGACCTTTTGTAGTTCAGTAAAAATCTTTGAGTCATATTCTCAGAGAAAAAATTATTGGTTCATAGTTCTATCAAGAACTCTTTTTTTTTTTTTTTTTTGTCTGTACATGAAATTACAAGTAGAGGGGATAGAGCTGCTTCAGCTGGGTGCTGGGATGCCCCAGCTTTGGTGGGGCACTTATGGGCACCACCAAGTTACTCCTGTTCACAGACCAAGGCAAACTCCAGTTCTTTGCTCGTTCAGGACATGATGGATGGTTGGTCATTTCCTTCTGTTTGCCAGAAGTATTTTCTCCCAAATTTTCATCCCAACTAAAATACTAAACCACAATATTGATATTATGCAAAGCCCACTGTCTTTGGAGCTTCTCTTCAGACTTTCAAGGCTCTGCTCTCAGACATGATAAATCCCTGTTGTCCCTGTGGCTTTATTTTGCTGACTAACTCAAGACTTCCATCAGTTCAGTTCAGCAGAGCTGCATACATTTGAGGCTTGTCATTCTTGATTATTTTCACAGCTCAGTGTTACATTCAAATATTTGTTAGTGAAAAATAAAATTTGCTTGAATCATGTAGTATCTCGTAATTTTGTTCGAGCGGTGCACTCTTCATTGAGGTCAGATACATGCTAGAGTATTATGTTCATAAAAGACAGTTTTCCTTATCTTAATAAGTCACTGTAAAGAGGACTGGGTTTTGAATTACTTTTCCTCATGATAAAACTGTACACCATGAAGCTCTTTATTTGTAATTTAGCTTAATTAAGCAATTTAGTATAATTTAATTTAATTTTACTTGGTTTTTATCATAATAAACATATATGATTGCAAGGAAGGGGTTTTATTTCAATTCTTTTTCATTCAGCATCTATATCACTTTGGTGAAAGCAAAAATTCTGTGTGGGATGGTGAAGAAATGCTGACTCTCAGCTTTGAAAAAGGTCATCTTTTGGGCAGGCATTGAAATGACAATGTATGTCTAATATGAACTTGAAATTTTTGGAGGCATGAAGAAGGTAATTTCTAAGGCTTTGCAATATATTCTCTCTTTAAAAGACTTGAAAAACCATTGCAGCCCATTGGAGTGGAGTGATAATAAATTTTGGCAATAGGAATATTTTAAAACCTTGTCTTGTTTTGTATCTGGAAAACAAAAAGCATGTGGCTGAAGAGGACACATTGCTGGGACAAGGGCTGCCTCCAGCAGGTACACGTGGCACTGGGCACAGTGCCCTGGCCGGGACTCACATCCCCAATGTCAGACACAAAATGTGTGTCCACGTTTGGCCTTTTGTCATGTCCCATTTTAATCACCTCCTTTTCAATGCTGATTTTTTTTTTTTTTTTTTAATTGGAAGGACCTTGGCCTCATCTCTTTTTTCTTGCCTTTGTAGAATTAATCAGTGGACATTATTAACAGTTATTGTTTTTCTGCCTCTCCCAGGGAAGAGAGCACAGGACAGCATTCATCAACTGATCTTGGACATTCATGTTCACAAAACATCTAACAATAAAAGACTTGGCTTTGCAACAGCTGCTTTGCTTGGGATGGTAAAAGTAGGAAGCAAGAGGAGAGGTTCCAGATGAGTAATAGGACATGTGAAAGAGGAGGCTTGATTTTTTTCCTGAGTTTAGGTGTCTTCTTGCAGTTTAAGGGCCAGGATTTACCCGGTCTGGCTGGTTTGAACAGGAGGCAGTGTCCATGCTGCTTTTGGTGGATCAGAGAACCACGCAGAGGAGCAAGTGAGCTTGGCTCCCCTTTCATATGGACTCAGCCCAGCCACTACAGTTGTGCAATATTTTGGGCCTTTTCTCTCTCTTTTGGGCTAGGTGAGAAGAAAAAGGAGTATGTTTAATTCTTTCCTTCGAATGACTGAGTAAACTGCCTCTGTCTGGATGTCTGTAATGGAAAATGCTGCTCATCCAATTTCTCTTGTGCTGGAGCACTTTGACCTGATGATATATTTTATATATTCTTTCCATAGTGGATCTGAAACCATTGTGGCTGTTTGCCCTCATTTCTTGGGGCTGAAAGGGAATTTGTGCAAGGGATGTAGGGATAAATGGTAGTGCTTTTTAATGCTTTTCATGCAGTCATCTTAAACCTTGTGGATGGAAAGCTCCAGGCAAGTAATGTGTCCAGTGCAGTGAATTGTTTTACAGAATAGGGATTAAATGCTCAGAACAGCATAGCTAAATTCTTCTTTCTGTCAAGGGATCTTCTGAGATATGTTTTGATAGAACAATGCTTTTTGTTTGTTTATTGGTTTGTATTTCTACTCATTACTTTGCAAGTTTTCAGTGAACTGTATTTGAAAATAATAGGCCTGAAATAAATTCTCTGATGTTTTCCTTAAAATGGTTTGTGTGTGGCTGTTAAGGCCAGAGGCTTTTCTGGCACTGAGGGTGAGATACATTTCCTATATGATGTCTGTACTTCTGACAGTCATCTGTGGTAGTTTATCTATTTATTTTCATAGTTAAACCAGAGAAAAACATCCTTCCAAGGAATTATGCTGCCCATTTTATGTACCTGCTTTAGGTAAGTGCAGATGACTGAGCACTGACAGGCTGCCCAGAGAGGGAGTGGAGTCTCCCTCACTGGAGATCTTCAAGAGCCATCTGGACACAATTCTGTGCCTTGTGCTCTGGGATGGCCCTGCTTGAGCTGGGAGGGTGGAGCAGATGACCCAGTGTGGGCCCTTCCAGCCTGACCCATCCTGGGATTCTGGGATAAGGTGGGAAGAGCTGTGGAAGTTGGGCTCCAGTGGTTGTCAAGAGGGCCAGGGGGAGATAGATTTTGGTTTGATAAATACCACCCTCAGAAGGGAGAAAGAATTTAACTTTGGGCTTTCAGTCTTTTTGGGACAAGGCTGATCAAGAGCAAGGAATCTTTCAAGACAAAGTTTTCTTTGCAGAAAGGTGGTTTTTTTTTTTTACCTGACCTTACAAAAAACATGCCTTGAATCATTGGAATTGCAAGTGGATGAAGGAGTGGAATTAGTTATTTAGTAATTTTTTTTAAAGAAGGGTGAACTCCATTGCTGAGAAATATGTTATTTTTTACTTTTACAGAAATTATTACAAATAATGAGAGACATGAAATACAGATTTTAAAAAGTTAGAGGCAGGCTGGCCTTTACAATAAAATATCTGATAAAGCTGTTAAATAATTATGTAAGTGGTTGTTTGGATAGAGAGGATGTCAAGAATTTGTGCTGGCTGAGGAGAAGGTTCTTACTCAAGGTTAGTGCCCTTTGAAAGTAAAATTTGGTTTAGCTGACAAGATTTAGATCTATTTCCTGACTGCAAAATACAGATATTTTAGCAATGTTTTTTTGCTGTAGCTCATGGACAACAGCATGTGTTTCTCTAGAGCAGCACATGCCAGTATACGAATAGCCATGACTAAAAAAAAGAAAAGCTTTCAAAACTAACTTTCCTTTATTTTCTGATAAATTACAGAATTTAGTTTATCATAAAATGTACAATTAAAAATATACAGATAAATTAAAAGATTTTCATCTTCTCTCTGACACCACTGTTTTACTTTTTTTGTAGTGTTGGGGTAAGCTGATGTTTTTTGGTTCCAATAGTAATCCTTCCTAGAACCTGGCATTATGCAAGTTTACACTCTTCTCAGTTTGGTCAAATATCACAATATTTTCATTTCTTCCTAGGTGGGATATTTTGTGGAAAATTGAAAGGAAAGCAAAAAAAAAAAAATAGGAAAATAGAATAATTATAGTAAAAAAAAAAAAAAAAAGAAGCAACCTGAAAAAGAACAAGTTAATGTCTGAGCATTGAGACAAAACACAGAAATTTTGCTTAGCTGCATCCTTAGTGTTATAGGAGATGTAAACTTTAGTGCTAGTGTTATGACACACCAGAGATGAGTCTTTTGAGAATCATACCAATTTTCCAATATAGTGCAGACTATACTGTGAAATCTTCATCAGGGGAGTAACATCTTCACTCACTGGGGTTTGCATTAACCCTGCTTTCTGCTGAGTGTCACTACTTTGGCAGCAGAATAACTTGCTAATTCAAGAGGCAAAAAGGTTTGTGGGGTAAAGAGTTGAAGGAATGACCCTTCAAGGAGGTTATTTTTCTAGAAATGACTTGTGCCAGTGTCACAGCTTTTATTTGGTGTTGCGTTTTTTTCTGGCAGCTTTACCAACTCCCCTGCCTATGAGCAGGACAATGATTTGCCTTTTCAGGGTCATTGAGCTCCAGAACTTGTTCTGCTCCTGCTCACTCTCATCTATCACCACAAATGCCTCTAACTGTGCTTCCTGTAGTGAGGAAATTCTCATCAAATATTTTTAGATCTGATATCTTCATGCCTCAAAACATTTCAGGGCTGACCTTTCATTGCTTTAAGCCAGCTGGCATTTTTTGTGAGTGATGGGGAGAGATATGTCACTTGTAACCTTGGTTAGAAACCAAGGACTTCTGGAGCTGCCTTGGGCTCCTATGTCTAGAGGGGAATGTCCAAATGTAAAGCTTTCATTTTCCAGCTGATCTATGCCTGCAAAGCTAGGACATGTTTGGGTATTCATGCCACCTTGCCTAAATAAATGCAATATCCAGATGGCATCACAGGCCCCCTCTGTAATCAACATAGAGAAAACAAACATTTTAGGGAAGAGCAGAAATCTAAATTCTGTGCCCCAAACTGACCAATGTGGGTGTTCCTTCCATTCCTGATGTGCCTGCCTTGTTCCCTGGCCTGTTGTTCAGCCTGAAATCAAGTTATCCTGAAATAATAAGGATCCAGGAGGGAGCTGCTGCTGGGCAGTGTCTCAGCTGGCCACACGTGCTTGTGTTGGGCATTTTAAGGGGACCAATGGCCACAATTCATCAGAACTGGTTCCCTCTGCTCATGGTGGGGAGCCAAGAACAGGAGATGAAATGGCAACAACAAAAACACCATGTGTTCTTCTTTATGTCATAATAGAACTATATTTAGATGCAGAAACTTTTCAATAAATGCTCATCTTTCTGTTGGGTCATTTCAGAGCAGTCTTACACTGCTATTGCATTTCAGAGTCCTTTGATTTTTTGGTCTTTTAATGGACACAAGTGATGTAGCTAAGACTCAGTAAAGATGCACAAAGCAAAAACAATATATTATTTTAAGTAAAAATTGTATATTATTTTAAGTAAAAATGGTTTTTCTTTTAAGTAATTCTTCTGACCTGGCATATATATGTATTGCATTTCTGGAGCTTTTTCAAGAGGCCTAATGGCAATGAGATGTTAATGCATAATGAGGTAAAATAATTTTAGAAAGAAAGAAAGAAATATTCAAAAACTGAAAGGCTGAAATGACAAAGCTTGCAATCTCAAGAAACAATGCAACAGTGATATGGCAGGTATAATAAATTTGGCTTTGAATGATAAAATGTACTGCCTTGTAGTAGTCAGTATTCAGGGAGATCTACTTGCAACTGTTATGAAAATGTGCATAATTAAACTGCCATTTCTCTCTTAAATTTGTCTGCAGCTCAGGATGATATTCTAAAAGGATAGTTTGCTCTGGTGTTAAAGTTGATTTGGATGTGAAATAATCAACTGAATTAATTTGTTTGTTTGTTTGTTTGTTTTGAATAGGGGGGTCTGGATAAGAGTTCATGCAGTCAACTTCTGGAGACTGTTCAGCTTTACTTTTTTGAACATTCATAGGTAGACAAACCTGAATTAGTTGTGCAGTGTGGAGTGAAAAAATATGTTTGTAAAAGAATCCTGTTAGAAATTTTTAAATCCTTCAGGAGAACTGAGATAATTTGTAAAATTAGAAATTTTTTTCTAGTTTTAATCTATGTTTTCTTAATGGCCCAAGGCAAATTTTCAGCTGTAGTTAAAGCTTAGAGATCTTTTTTGTTTTGTTTTGAGGATGACTTGTAACATAGGATTCTTTATTTGAGAGGTGCAGGAATGCTCAACATCTGAAATAATTAGTATGTTATCTTTTCCCTTATTTTGCTAAATGTAGTTTATTTACAGGTAATTTCTGTGAATACTTCTTTTACTGAACTCATCCAAATGGCTTCCACTAATCCAAAACGAGCAGCATTGGAAAACTTAATCAATCTTGAATTTGTTAAAATGCTATTTTCTCTTGCAGATGCTGCCTTCCTCCACAGATGTTTCACAGGCTAAGGGGCAGCCAGAGGGTCCTGTGGCAGGTGCCAGAGGGAACAGGAGGATTGGGTCAGCATCTGGTGGCTCTCAGCCAGGGATGGATGGCCCCCCCAGCTCTCCCCTCACCCCAAGCCTGTGTGCTGGTTCTTCTGTCACAGTAGCAAGCCCAGAGAGGATCACAGCCTTGCATTGAGAGCTGAGAGAAAACCACCCCAAAAACTGCCAGGTCAGTAAAAGTTTTCTCACTGGTTTTAGTTCAGTGAAATCTCTTATTCTTGGCAGAAGGTACAGATGTTTGAATGATTCCTTCCAGAGATGAACAGTTGACTGTTAGTTTAGACAAGCTGACAAACTCTTTCATGTTTTTCATTATGGATTTCTTTCCCATTGTTTAAGAGGGGCATGGGGCTTACAAAAATAATTAAAAGATTTTGATTTCATCATGGTGTATCTTAGTCTATGTTATGATAATCTTTGCAAATTGTTGGTTGTTTTAAAAAAAAAGTTGTTATGTTGATCTTGTCCTACCTTTTTTCCCCTCCAATTCTTTTTTTTTCTTTTTTTTTTTTTTTAGTGATCCAATTATTCCTATGCCCTGAAGCTCTTTATAGTAATTTCCATTAACTGCAGGAATCCTGTTAAGAACAGAGCTGATCAATTGCAATTGCATTTGTGACAGTCTGCTGCTAAACTAAACACGCAAGAGATTTCAGCCTCTCCGAGACAACATAACCTCTCCATGCTTGTATGGGAACAAAAGTCAAATATGCAATTACTGCAGCCAGTTAGGTAGAGTAGTTAAAAATATTATTCCAGTGAATTTTCTTTATGATCTTGGAATAAAATAAATGCCATGAAACAATTAAAAGCATAGCTTTTGCTTTTGGCAGTAATGAAAAGAACATGGAAGATACTGAGATTTTCTTTCAGTTAAGTAATTTATTATGCAATGAAATGGTGACAGAATTCTGATAATATGTTATCCTGATATAACAGGGGATATATGTAACAGTTCAAATCAAGTTTCTTGGTCCTTTTCTCTCTCCCATTCACACAGAAAAAAGACCAATGAAAATATGGCCATGAAAGAAAACTGTTATGAGCATCAAAATGCGAGTAGCTCTTTGATTGATCTTCGTGAACTCAGAGGTTATTTTTTTTATATAAATCATATGAGCTTTAATTAAATCCCAATGAAAGAGGATATGGGCCTCTTGTACAATTATCTGGGAGGCCACAGCTGAAATCAGCCTCAGTGCATAGAGCATCCTGTTTCCATAAAAACATGAATGCTCTATGCACTGGGGCATCCAAGGTTCCTGTTCTCCTTCCCTCCTCAGATACCTCCAGCTGTCCCCTCCAGCTCAGACCCGTGGGCTGGTCCCAGCCTGCCCTGATCCCTGGGGCAGCCCCCTGGGCTCTGTTGCCAGGGATGAAGGATGCTGTGGTGCCCCGGACCGTGCTGTGCTCTGGGCTGCGGAGGGGCGGGATCAGAACACGATGATAAATTCTGGGCTCACATAATGGGAAACCAGCCTGCAGGTGCAATTGCCCAGGGAGTGAAACACAAAAATGCCATTATGAATAAGGCATGGCTCTCTGGAGAAAAAACAGATGGCTCAACCTCAGCTACCACAGCAGAAAGCTATTTGCCAGACATGTTGTCAGCAAGTAATAAAGGTCAATATCCTATGGGGAGAAATCAGCAGCATGGGAAAGAATAAAACCTGCAGAAATAAAACAAGGTAAACATCCTAGCAATGGGATTTTCCCCATTGATACAAATGTGCAATTTTTTTTTTTAATCACAGATATTTTACTAGTTAGCACGGCCTAGCAAGTAGTTTGAGATGACTGGAAAATATATGGAAAAGAGCTGGGATAGTTTTGATGATCAAAATTTCATAGAACATTTGAGATCACCGAAATACAGGGATTTTTCATTAACCAGGCCACCTCCCCATTTTCTTTTCACCTTTTGTTGGTGATTTGATTTTCTTTTAACTGAGACTGTGAAACAAATCTATTAAATCACTTTTGCTTTTATGTATAACCTATTTCTTCAGTGTGCAGTGGCAAGTTTTAAAAGAATATCTCCCTTGTGTGACTGTTTCCTTTGGAATTTCAGGAAATGTAGTGTCATAGACTTCCTAGAAGTTAATTTTACAAAAATTAGGGGGTAGATTTACTGTGTTTCTTTACTACTGGGATATTTTAAAAAAATATTTCCTTTTTCTTTTTATAGGCCCAATTAGAGCAGGACATTCAGTGTACTGCTGTATGAGCTAGTATCTGTAAAATAGCATCAGTCAATTGCTGCTTTTAAGTAAAAACTTGTAGCTTAGCTTGAGTGGCTTTACTGGTTGTGTCCACAGCCACTTTCTTTAGGGGAGTGCATGGGCATTGTGGGCACAGAAATATCTGAGTTTACAGGATGGACGATGCAGGCTGCACCCTTTGCTGCCAGACCCCTGCCACAGGGAGAAGGGCGTGGAGCGCCAGGCCAGCAGTGCTGGCACTGCCAGGACAGCACTTCCTCACAGTCTGGCTCAGAATAGCTGTGGTCTGGGCTGCAGGAGCCTTGGGTGCATCCTGGCTGTGAAAAGGAGGAGGGAGCAGTGTGTCTGTGCAGGTGCAGGAGTGCACTGATGCTGACTGGCTCTGGGAACTTTAACTGAGCATGGTTGTAAATTCTGCAAAATACTGATTTATATTGCGATCTCCAGAGTTAACACGTTTGGAAAACATCCATTATTCCTACAGATTTTTCATTATTCTGTATTTTTCATCACTTTTATTAGAAAAGGGCATTCATACACAGTAATGCATGTCACAGTTGCTGTGCTTTTCCTCTGCCTCCATTGATTACCCCAGCTGGTTCATGGTATGTTGCTACTTGTTTTTTGGGAGCCAGAAATAAAATGCCTGGTTTTGATGAAATATTAATGTCCACACTCACACTTTATTGCAGAAAGCTGCCTTCAGTTGCTCAGTAAGGTAGCATTACAGCAGGAACTGAATTGCTCTCCATTCAACACAGCTTTAGAAAGCACACCCCAGATGCCAAGGGACATGGAAATAGTCCCTGCAAGTGATGCTGTTGAGTGCTGCCTAAGCAGGAGGTTCCAGTGAGATTCCAAAATGTGGGCTTTGCTTTTGTGTGTCTTTCACTTCTTCCTGATGCCTGGCCAGAACTTCTGAAGACAGATATACCTGCTATCCAGCCATCAGCTGCCTTGTCAAGTATTAAGATATTTTGATATGCAAAACCTCTTGTAAATATTTGACATGGTAACTGTTACATTGATAAAAGGATGCTTTAAGAATTAGCCACTGTGAGAACTTCTTGGAGCTTTATCTTGCTGACAGTGAAATACAGGGCCTGCCAGTTCAGTCTGAGGTCAGATCATAATGCATGAAGGGTGCTAATAATAAGGATATTAATAATAATACTCTGTGATACTATGATAATAAGTCTTTGTTACCCTAGTGAAGCAATCTACTTTGTTTGGGGCTATGGTGACTTTCCATGAAATTAAGCCTTTGTCAGTCCAGTCTCTTTCTATCACAGATAAGTGTGGTTTATTTTAAGTGTTCAGGCTTCACTTTAAGCTAATTAGGTTATTTGGCCCCATTCTTCCTCCTGCTGGAACTAATAATTTCCTGAACAAGGGCTGCAGACACAGAGATGTCAATGGAAGAACAGACATTTGCAAGGATATTACCTGCATTGAAGCACAGTAATTCAAAATGGACTCAAGCAATTCATCCAGCAAATGGATTCTGTGCTGGCACTTCGCTGCTTTGCTTCACAAGTCACAGATTTCAGTTAAAATCCTGTAGCCCCTTGTGGTTTTAATTTTTTAAGACATCCATTCTTCCTACTACAAAGCATTGTTTAAAGATGTGCAGATACCACAGTTACCATTTAGCCAGCTGTTTCAGCTGCTTTTCATTTCACTTAATTAAAAATGCAGAAGTTTGGACACTACATTGCAGGAATGGCAATAAATTAGCAGCAATCAGTTTGGAGAGCTGCATGCAGCAGCACTGGAAAAAGTGAGTCAGCTAAAGGTTTCCTCTTTTAAACCTCTGTCTTACTCAGTTTTTCCCACTACTGAATGGACAAATGAAAAGTGATGGTAAGATCATACCAAATAATTATGCACTAGTTGATTTGCAAGAAGATGAGAGGGTACATCGCACCATCAAACAAGGAACTTCGAATTATTTAAACATGGTCATTTATAGGAGCCCGACCCAAAATGTGCAGTGTCAGACCAGATGGTTCCTTTATTGGTGTCCTGCTGAGCTGAGGTCCTGTGGGAGTCTCAGCTTGCTCAGTGAGTTATACAGGATAATTAACTTTGGCCCTTATTCTGTGAACTATTTGCTGGGTTTTTTCTATATTGAGGGGGATCAGTAGCCATGTGATTGCAGAGAAAATCTGAATTGGCCTGTGTTGAGCCACCTGTGCTCTGCTGTTTGCCAGCCATGGACCTGCATGAGTGGAATGGCATTATCTGCACTGGGCTGAATGAGGAGGATACTTGGAAGAAAGCTGGATGACAGAATGCTGCTTATTGGCTGGTGCTCACTGAGCCTGCTCCCCATTCAGACTCTTCCTTTCCCAAAGATATTGTTTGAAACAGCACAGGAAACTGTTTTCTGGGATCAATAGTTAATATCAAACGAGTGCTTATTGATATACACAGGCAATATTTGCCCAGTTCTTTTTTCTAGATTTGAGCTACCTAATACTGAATCAAAATATCTCTTTTGAGCAGCAAAGTTATATCTTTTGTCTCTAGTTTAAACACAAGTATTACTTAGAAACAGAATTCCATGGAAGCAGAAACCTGAAATAGTGCATAGTGCTTTCTAAAGGCTGTGTGATAGATAAACATAAAAAGGAAACTCATTGTGTCCTGAGACTAAAAATGGACTGTGGAGTAGTCTGTACCCTCATAGAGGAGGAATTAGAATGTGAGGATCAAAAACCACTGGAAAGAATAGCCTTTCTCCTGTAAGAGGTGAAAAAAATCCATCACTTTCTTCCAACCCTGAATGAGTGTTTTCCTGAAATTAAAGAAAACTAATAATCCTCCTGCAGTTGTGCTGTACCCGTTTTGCTCTTCACTGGTAGGTGAAGTCATAAACAGTGAATGTAATGCCAGTTTTTTATGTTCAAATGCAAAGAACACCTAGAATGACAGGTCATGCATA